TTGGCAGAGGACTGAATGCTGATTACAATCATGCAAACAGTTTGACTGCTTGATGTCCAGGAGTAAAGAAGAAGATTTTTAAAAATTGCACTTATGTCAGGGGGGCAGGGACCATGAAATTTAGAACTTTTGTTCCTTTTTATATTTTCCAATAGATGCTATATGCCAAAATTGGTTGAAATTGGTTCAGCGGTTTCAGAGAAGAACCTGAAAATGTTCAAATGTTAACACACGATGGACGACGACGGACAAAAACGGATAGCAAAAGGTCACCTGAGTTTTAAAAAGCAGAATGCATTCAAATACTCACGTACAAATGCTTTCATTCATTTGCATAGCGTCCACAAACCTGGCTATACATCACCTATAAGAAGTCAAAATGCTGAGATTACTTACACAAAACTACCACCTTTCATCTTTTGTTGAAAAGTATGCTTGTAGGAAAACAGTTGGGTATAAGGGACACTTTCTTTGCAACTTTTGAAATTCCCTATGTACATGTTTTCTTACGTATTTTAAGCTATTTCTATGCATTTAATATCAATACACTTAATGCCTCCGTGGCCCAATGGATAAGGCACCGGCCTCCTAAGCCGGGGATTGCGGGTTCGAGTCCCGCCGGAGGTGTTCCATTTATTTTATCTCTCACGAGATAGCAGAGGCCACCAACAAACGTCCTCTCAATTTCTTGTAGTCTATACAGGCTATTGATTATGGAATTTTTGCTTGATGTGATGAAACCTGATCCCATCTCTGATGTTTTTATCGTTGGTGTTTGTTTTGCTCCCAGTTTATATTGGACTCATGAGCTTGAATGCTGTTCTTTATTTGGACAATGTTCTATCAATTAACAACTTTCAATTTTATTCCTGAGTTGATTCGATATATCACTTTGAACTCGAATACAGTGACACTACAAAGCCTGGCACTTTTGTTTCACGAATAATTTAATAAAAAATTGTATTAATGATAACAGAGGTACCAACAAACGTAGTGATAAACGAGACGACATAAACTTTTCTATCGTCAACTCTCCTCATTTAAATAGCAATAAATATATTCCTTGACACTTAGATATGAAGCTGAATAAACATTTGCAAAGTACAAGTTGCAAGTACAAACATTTCTAAATCGAGGCAAGATAAACAGGTTGATGAAATACCAACGATATTTAAAAGTCAACGTTTCGTTAGTTATTAGATCAGAAGACTGATCCTGTCAGCATTTAATATGTTATAAGCTCGAATGCGGACTGCAGCTATTTTTCATATCAACTGTTTGACCAATATTAACACACTGTATTGTCTACGGAGTTTACCGTATGCCTAATCATGACGTTGTATCGGTTTCTAGCGGATGTGCACTCCCCTTTTGCACCTGATCCTACCTCTGGTGTTAATAGAATAATTTAGTAAAAAAATAGGTCAAACTCTAAGGTCAAAGGTCAAATTTCTATGAATCCAATGAAAGGAATTGACAAAAAAAAATTTACAAATGTAAAGTATATGAAAGTTCTAGCCCCTACTGTTCAAAAGTTATGTCCAAGGTTAAAGCTTTTATAAGTAGATAAATTCAAAATCTTCAGGTACAATTATTAAGAAACAAAGTTTGAATTCATTTAAATCAACAAATGTACATTTAAGTACGTACTTGAACTTGCATAAAGAAAATTCAATGACATGCTTTGTTTTCAGTTTCATGTATAAAAAATCAAATAATGAAACGTGACCTGTCAAAGCAATAACGAAAAAAAGATGTGTTTGTGAAACTTATGGCAAATGCTTATGGCAAAACTTGAACTTAAGCTTCTCAAATGTTACAGGTGTAGTGAAATTCCAGGGTCAAGGTCAAGAGGTCAAAAATGTTGGTATCCAAAGGAGGTTCTTGTCGTAAATAAAAGACCTGTGAAATATGTAAGTTTTTGGTTTCTAAAGAAAGGCCTTGTCATAAAGATCGGGGGTATATGTGAAGTGTGAAAGCCTCTCTTCATTCAAAAGTTATGGCTACAAGGTTAAAGACCGCAAAAACATTAACCTTTCAATCAAAATTTTGGTATTTAATAAAAGGTGCTATGGCTTTCAAAATTGTAAAAGTGTGTATTCCAAAGTGACAAGAGGTCATAATTATTTGGGGCACCACCAAATTTGTCACAAGAAATATACCTGTGAAATATGACACACTTTTACACAAAAAAAAATGGGCAAGGTTAAAGTTTTTGCAAGGTAACCAGAACAATTGATGCTAGACAAAAACTTTCATACTCCTAATACTTTGTTTGCGGGAGCATAACAAAAATGTCCATTTGATATACCAACAAATTTGAACTTGAGCTTTTGGCAAAGGCTGAAGTTTCTCAAATGTTACAGGTGAAGTCAGACTACAAGGTCAATGTCAAGAGGTAAAAAATGTTGGTATCCAAAGGAAGGTCTTGTGTAAGTGAAAAACCTTTGTAATTTTTATGACAAGATCTTTCACTGGATATCAACAACTTTTACCCTTTTTACTATGACCTTAGAGTTTGACCTATTTTCAAAAATAACCTTGGTCATAACTTTTGATAGGTTAGAACTAGGACACTCATATTTTACGTTTGTAATTCTTGTAACAAGACATTTCATTATACCCCCGCTCCGAAGGAGAGATTTGACCTTGACCTTGTGTGTTGACACATTTTTACACAAAAACTAAACTTTCACTTTAGCCGTACCTTAACAAATTTTGATGCTTTTTGATGCAACTGCTCATACTTCTAATATGTATTTTTGACACAGCCTTCTCATAGGCATGCCAATCAATTTGACTTTTGACCTTGACCTTTGAGATTGGTCTACTTTTAAAATACTTTTACCTTGGACATAACTTTTGAACGGTAAGGGCTAGGGCTTTCATACTTTACATTTGTCACATTTTTCTCAGCAACTCTTCATCGGATACCTACAATTTGAACACAACCTTCCTTAGAATTTGCCATATTATTTAAAATCTTAAATCTGATGTCATAACTTTTGAACAGTCTGTGCGTTTGTCAGTTTCATACATGTAATTCTTGTAACAAACCTTTTATTGGATAACAGTAACTACTAATTGTGGGGATGCATACTTTTTTAAAAAAACATTCATAACATTTGAACAGGTGGTGCTAGGGTTTTCATACATCACAATAGTTTTTCTGGTGAGAAGGCCCTACTTTCCGTTTCATACATGTTTCACACATAACATATTTCCGTCACAGTTTTCAAAGCAACTACTCATTGCAGATGCTTGAAATTTTAACACAATCTTCTCTGATGCATACCATACAGTGGGATTTATTCCTGTTTGTCTGTGCGTCTGACTATTTCATACATAACAAATTTTTATAACAGTTTTCAAAGCAACAACTCATCGCAGAAGCTGGACATTTTAGTACACTCTTTCATGAAAAATGCTAGAACTGGGATCAATTTTTGTGGAAAATCCGATTTCAACATTTCCTGTCTGTCAGTGCATCTGTTCGTTTCATAAATTAAAAATTTTGACAGACCGAGAGTTTTATCAGCAACTACTCATAACAAATGCTTGAAATTTTAGTACATACTATGTTGAGGCTTGTTTATGGTTAATTTATTCTTATATGAATCTGATGTCAAATTCCTATATATCCGTGCATATACCCACACCGTTTATCAACATGATATTGTATATCCATATCAGAGCGGGAGTATTCCTAGTGAGCATTGACTCACAGATTTCTTGTTGGATATCAACAACTTTGATCGACCTTTGACCTTGACCTTAGAGTTTGACCTACTTTTTATTTTTTTTAACCTTGATCAGGACTTTTGAACGGTCAGATCTAGGGCTCTGGTACTTCACATAGATAATTCTTGTTACACGTCCATAAGTCCATTCATTAGATGCCAATAACTTTGACCCTTTGACCTTGACTCTGGAGTTTGACATACTTTTTAAAAACTTTCACTTTATTCATAAGATTTGAACAGATGGTGCAAAGGCTTTCATACATCTCAATTACAGCATTTCTTGTGAGATGGCCTTACTTTGGGTACCAATATTTTTGATTTGCATTTGAGAAAATTTAATCAATATGGGGCAATACTCAAAGGCATCATTGTTTCACAAACACATTTTGTTTTTCATAAGTTGTCGCCAAGGTTAAAAGTTTTTAAAAGAGGGTCGAATTCTAAGGTAATGGTCAAAAAGTCAAATTTGCGGTGCCTAAGGAATTGTCTTGTCTAACGAAGGTGAAAGCACAACCACCAACTATTCAAAAGTTATGCCCAAGATTAAATTTTGGTAATTTCTTGTAAAAGTGGACCAAACTATGAGGTCAAGGCCATGATGTTTAATTCGGTGGTACCCAAAGAAAGGTCTTGTCACAAGAAATACGCCTGTGAAATATGAAAGCCATAGCACCACCCAGTCATACGGTATGGGCAAGGTTAAAGATTTTGCGGACAAACAGATAAACAGCTAGACAGACGGGCGGACATGACTATAACTATAAACCCCTCTCCCAAATCTTCGATTATGGGGCATACAAATTTGCTAAAATCATCAGAGAACTATTTCAGTGACAGATAATATGATAGGAATCATTACTATATAAATTAAATTCATTTCAAAGGAAATTTGCTCGTTTAATTTATTAATTATTTAAATGAACAAACAAACTCTCTCTCTCTCTCTCTCTCTCTCTCTCTCTCTCTCTCTCTCTCTCTCTCTCTCTCTCTAGAGTCTCTCTCTCTCTCTCTCTTAAATGGATAATTAATAATGCACAATTTACGTAATTTAAGTATACAGTCATTTAAAGTCGAAGCAAAAAGTCATTGCATTCGATGTATGATAAATTATAAATATGAAGCTACTTTTTATCTCGATATTTCGAAATATGTTCTCGTGATGTTTACTCAAATTCTCTAAATATAGCCAGAGGCGTGTCCATTGTGACGTATTAGGAGAGAATTACCTATAGATTTGCTCAGGTGAATAGCATTTTCAACACATCAAAACAAATCTTCAGCATGGGTTGTGGTTCAACTATAGGAAAAGTTTTTCTAGTCACTGTGAATACTTTATTCACGGTAAGTTGACAACAATTTTCTAGAGAACAAATTAATTCGAATAATTACTTACAATGTATATTTATACCCATCGATCCTAGTGAAAGGTGTCAAGATTTTAATCTATATGGAAGGGCGCCATCTTTTAACAAACATCAGGAGCAAGCTTAGTTATTTGTCAATTCGATTTTCGTTACCTTAAAAGCAAAATGAACTTCAACGAATCAATGACAATAGTCACACAATATTGAAAACAATTCTGGATTTATATTATTTAAGAAAGAGCTAGAGAGAATAAATATATAATGTGTTATATATTTAACCCGGGTTTTAAAAACCAGTTCTTGAGGAGTCAAACATGTTAATCGCAGCGTAACTGCTGCCAAATTGCTGTCAAATATTTCATTGATTCTATTCAGCGTGACTTTTGATCCAATTTTGGTTTTAAGTCTGGTCTCTATGTTAGTATAAGAAATGAGAAACTATCTCAATTCAAAACAGTACTTTAATTTCACGCAATTGTACTTTTATCACAAGTAAATCAAATATTTATTTCAACCCGAGGTAGAATTCAAAATACACACAACTGGGATATCAAATATTTTAGATTTTGTACTTTTTTTGCTCTAATCCTGTAAACTACAATAAAACATTTTTAAGCTCTGGTGAAAACAATGTATTTGACATTCCCCTGGGGCCAGGCAGTTCATACTTCACACACGCTGCACACCGACACAAATTAAGTCTGACTTGTCATATTTTTATCGGTCATTGTTTGTCACACATGTACATGTAAATCTTATCGGAAATAACCAAGTTTCCTACAACATATGAAGAAGGACCTCGTATGTAACAAGCATTAATTTTACAAATATCTCAGAAAACGAATGGTCGTATTTACTGCATTGAAAATTTCATAATATAAACCACAGATGTGACCATTACACATGTGAGACATTGTTGCTGAGTTTTATAAAATGAATTCCTAACGACCGGGGTTGAATCTGGCATGTTGGGCATTTCGAAACAATTTGAAACCATATCTTAATACCCCGCTATAACTTGTTTACACAGTCTTTCTATCGATCATATAAAAACAAATTCGATCTCACAAAGCTAGACACAGTAATTGTTTTCCATCATTGGCATCAAATGAATTTTTAAAACATCTATCGATTTTACTTTTCTATAAATAGAAAATTGCATGATCAACAAAAACAAGTGCAAGATTAAAAAGTATATATATTTACACTTTAGTTTTCAACATGCACAGCAAAAAAACCCCTAAAACTACGTAATGACAAATCTAGAAGTTTCTCAAAAAGCCCCTTGTGAATCACGTTTTTTTCTGTCCTTAATTTCGGCGTGTGACAACACCCTGATAAAACTAAAACTTAAATCCACCCACATCAAGATTCCACAAACATTGTCCTTACACGCTGTCCGCTTCCCTATACTTTAGTAAACACGGACTGCTTAACATTCGTGATATCTAGAGAAAGTTAAGTGAAATGTTCTTCACTAAGAAGATCATAACAGGTACAATGTAAGAAATATTATTTGAGAAATCAGGAATAAAATTATTCGTAAATTTCTAACTAACTTGTAGATACATATACATATACATATATGTACAATATAATTATGTAGCATCACGGACAGTTCACTGACAGCGGCCAATCTATTTGTGGTTGTGTTAGAAAGTAGGAAAAATGAGATTTTTTTACTAGTTCAGTAAAATAATTCTTAAATGATAGCATGTATAAAATCATGATTAAAATATTCTTAAAACTTGCTTTAAACAACGTATTAATTTTTCTTATCATTTCTCATCAGATAATTGTATAAAAAGAATTTACAATAGGTACTCCCCAGCCTGGGAGTGTATGATCTGAAAGAAAATCGTCATGATTTTCCGGATAATACGACGTGGTTTAAGTGCATGGTGAATAAAAATTGAAAGGTTGCTCAACAAGTAGAACTTGTTTTGAATATGCTACAGCTGTGAATGATGCAAGGATATTTTTTCTGCATTTTGCACTGCGCCTTGCAGCATATCCTACCCGGGAAAACTTTGGGCATTATAACAAGTGACAATGGAACCAGGTTTCAGCAATGACAATGAATTGATCATTGACTTTATTGCATCAATAGATCCATTTGATGAACAAATGCACTAAAATTTCTATTTAATTTTTAACTTTTTTTTCTGCTTTGAAGACAGCCTGAAATAAAAATTATCACTTTTTCAGCGTTCAATATTAGAGTACTGTGCTTTCCTTACACGGATGCTATTACATGTATAATGACATAAGTTCTTTTTAAAATGCTTTTGTTTGCGGCCGATTTGTTGCTTTGCATCAATTTTACTTGTCCGTATAGTGGCTAATTAATATGAAAAGAAGGCGAATTTACCTGTATATATAAACATGCAGCTGCGTACAACGACGCTTGAAAATTAAAGTCCAAAGTATATGTAGCCCATTTAAATGAAGAATCAAAAAAAAAATTGAAGATTGCATCGATTATCAGGAAAATTATTCATTGAAAAGGAAAAAATATAAATAAATAATGAAGTTGCTGCATTTTAATGACGACAACAACCAAAATAATTGTTGCACAATGAAAATCCTTAATCCGTAAAGGCAACGCCATATGATGTTGAGATACGTGTACCTTTCATCCCACGGATTTTTTGCTCGTGTTTACATCTGCGTACTAGACTATTTCGAAATTTCGCACACCTGATAACATAGTCCTACATGTATATCGATTTCAGAGAGTTTGTGGACAACTTTTGATAACATAATGTTTGTCATCCTTTTAGGGAGATTAGCTTCTCTCTCTAGACATGGATTCCAGCCACCCTCACCCCCTTAATATATACAACCAAACAGTATTTTTTAAGTACATTTTTCAGTCATTCATAAAATATATGCAAATTAAAATATTTAATTTGGTGTGCTGATTCTCTTGAGCTTATGAGAAATTCGCCCCGGGGCCCATATGGCCCATGGGCATTGTCCTTGACCGTTAGCTGGAACCTCTTAAGGTACCCAGTTCCCTCGCAATCCCAATAGCGCGCCCTCTATAACGCAAAATCCTACATCCGTGCACCTCTCTCTCTCTCTTTGTGGTCAAACAGGTGTCGAAGTTTCTTTTTATGATATTGTTTTTACTGTCCATTCTATATACAACAATAAACATTCAACCACATGTACCAGGAGACGTCACAAACACGTGCATCGAAAACATGCGCCATCTGAGGTCGTCCATTTACTACGATCAAATCAAATCCATTGTAAATCACTTAACTGTCATACAGTTTTGCATGTGTACATATTGACATCGCTTTTTCTTTGCATGGTACATGGGGAGATTTGAAAACTATGTGTAGCTGCTTTTTAAAGGACAGTATATGCGGTTTATCGTTTTTTTTTTGTTTGTATACCTCGTTGAAAGGTTTTATACGAGAAGTTTTGATCATACAAATTATTGAAATATTTTGTAAACTGAAGGACTAGGACATATTTGCTGTTTTATTAGTTCGAAAATTTTTTCCATAAAAAGTTAAACAATTTAATATGTGAACGGTCAACCCAGACTGAAATCTCAATCTAACCAATTAAGAACTCTTATTTTTAATTTAAATGGCACAGTTTATTGTATAAAAATGATAAAGATACGTTTATAGTAGTGTAAATGTTTGCATGTACTAATGACAAATTCTCTCTCTCTCTCTCTCTCTCTCTCTCTCTTTCTGTTGGACAACATTCCATTGGATTTAGTCATGTAAGCCCCACCCATTCTGGTGAAATCAAACGACACAATGGAAGAGATGTTTAAACACAGAATCAACAAATACTAAAAAGTTAATTTGATAAATGTCTTGCTGTGCTTCGCTTTGTGAACCAAGCATCTAGTATATACATGTACTTTGCGCACCAGCAAATTACTTGTATCCGGGAAACAAAACTGTTTACTGCATGTCATAAACTATTTCATAATTCGAACCGTAACCAATCCCTTTAAAATGTGTAAAAAGTAAGTTAAAAAGTGTCTTTGTATAAGAAATTTTAAAGTATTTAAAAAAAAGATTTTGTCAATATATCAAATCAAGTTTATGTTCCACAAGGTCGTTGCTCTTAAGGGGTCATCCGTGACCATATTTTGTCTACATACCAGATTACGTGCAACATACTAGCATTAAGTTTCAAACCGTTCGACTAGCTACATTTATATATACGCTTTTAATTTTAATACAAGGATGGAAACGCGAGGCAGGGTTTTATGACAATTTTTCCTCCGAGTTTCATTTTGTTTCCTAAAAGATTTAAATTGATAAACATGTATATATTTAAGAAAGTGTGCAATCGCCTTCTAGATACTGTATTCAACCTTTGACCACGTTGCAAAATATATATAGCTATGCTGTATTTTGCATTCAGGTTTGGGGCGTTAAATTGATTAAAGTTTTCATGTTTTTGTTTCCTATCCCAGTATTTCACGATCTGCCCCACTCGACCCCATCTCCGATATTAACGTAAACACTCTGGACCCGCCCTATTTCACAGAATTTAGGATTTATTTCCAATAACTTAATTGTAATTTCAATAAATTAAATTTAATCATCGATGGTAATTTTTTTACAGATACAATTAAAAATAATCACCAATGGTTATTCTTACAGATACTCGGCCTTGTTTTATTGGTCATTGGATGTGTCGTCAAATTCAAGAAGGACTTGGTGACGGAATATGCCGCCGAACTTTTCAAGATCATCAAACTAGACTCCGCCGACTACAACTTAGATGAACTCCTAGGATCATCGGCAATCGTTTTCATCATCGTCGGCGTCGTCATTCTCGTCGTCGGAGTCCTCGGATGTTTGGGCGCCTGTTGTGGGTGGAGGGTATTCCTCGTCATCGTAAGTACTGTGGGTCTCTTTGGTCCCCTTTCCTCGTCTTAAAACTGTTAAAGGCCAGGTACTATTCAGGTGTTGCATGGGAAAGTCCCCGAAGAAATGTATACCGGTAGTACATAAATATCAAATGACTTGATGCTGAAATCTTCGTATTTACTTATAATTAGTGCAATACTAAATAACTCATCCAAAAGTTTTTGCAGTATTACTACATAGCATGTATTGTAACATGCTTAATTTTGGAAGAATTTTTGAGGGAGATGCTCTGTAGTCAAAGCTGACAGGGGCTGATCACGATTTATTTCCCTCTTTTCTATTTGTCCACCCCAAAACTATAATATTTGATAAAGTGCAAGGGTAGTCAAGTATAGAAAGAGGACAAAATCGTGATTAGCCTTTGAAATCAAAGGAATGAAGTGATACAATCTATAGTTTTGGGGGGAAATTTTATTTTGTTTTTGTTTTTTGAAAGAATTAGTTCCGATTATATTCTGTGCATGACTTCTACTGCGATAATAGAAGAAGAACGATGTTTTTTCTCATGTACAATGTACATGTATCATACATACGTAAAATTAATCCTTTTTTCTCTTCTTTGCAGTATGCACTTATTGTGTTCCTGGTTCTGATTGCTGAAATCGCCGGTGTTGTTTTGGCAGCTATTATGAAGAAAGACGTAAGTTGGTTTTATGTAAAGAATGTTAGTAGTAACTGTCACCACCACTTTCATTAAGTGAGACTTCCTAGATCCACACCTTATGTGTACTCATTAAAATCAAACTTCCTGGATCCGCACCATGTGCACTCATATATATCCACGGTTCGGATTTCAGAACCAATGTAATTCTTCCATATTCCCTTTGCACCCTACATTCTTATTTAATCAACTATTCTGTGCTCTTTCCAAAGAATTCAGTCATTTAATAATTACCTCGATAAATAGAATTGTAAATTTTACAACAAACAAATGAAAGCACCTAAAATGTATGAGTTACTGTGTCTAGTATTTGAATGTTCATATTTAAATGTAAATATGCTCATTAATTCCTGTGTAAGGTTATTATCAAGTACTATTAAGGATCATCTCGATTGAAAAATTAACTTATCATGACAACACAGTACTTCAGTATCTTCCTTGCTCTAGTTTATCTTTGAAGGTCAAGTTCTATTTCTTGACCAGTAGATTTCAAAACAAAGGACGTTATCAAGGCCTTAAAAAGTTCATGAAATATATTTACTTTTTTAAAAGCCGTGTGGCAACGCACTTTGAAAAAATATTTGAAAAATTTTTTGAAAGTGCTTAATCTCGTTCATAAACGCACTTTAGAAAAAAATTTTTTTTTGTGCTTAATACCGACCATATTAACGCACTTTGAAAAAAAATTTGCATGGCTTAGTCAATATTCCTACAAATCTCAGGTATGATAAATTATCATTTGAATCTGATTTGATACTTTTTGTCCCCCGCTTGAAAAGTGGGGGACATTAACCACTTCCGTCCGTCTAGCTGTCCGTCCATCCGTCTTTCTGTAACGCTTTCGTTTCCACACGACATCTCGACAACCCTTTGAGCTTTTGCAATGAAATTTAACATAACAGAATCCCTGTGGCCTAAGGAAGACCCCTATTGAATTTGGGGTCAAAGGGTCAACATTCAAGGTCGTAAAGAACTACGAACAATAGTATTATTCTTCCGCCTAAAGTCAATTCTCAAAAGTTAACATATTGGAATGATTTGCAAAATTTTTATAGATATTCATATGAATTTTCATAAAACTTTACTTATTTTACCAAAGAGAGATAATTTTTATAATTTTGGCAAAACTTGTGTTTTTCACTATGAAATCAACGGAAAAGAAAATATTTTTAAAAATCTCTCTCAATTGTGAAACAAAAATTCCTTATTTACAGGTAATATGGACTGTCATTTTACAAATTTATGCCAAAGCTTTTTGTGTTTCTCATTAAGTAAAAACGAAAAAAAATTGCTTATTTTTCACCAATTTTAAAGCTATTTAAAACTAAATAATTGTATTTCATTAATTTATATATGCTTTATTTATTTGCGTAAGACATGAGAAAAGATATTAGATACATGTTATATATTTATGATTATTTCAAAATTTTTCTTGAAAGTTCATACTATATCCCATCATACGTTGCGAGGGGATAATACTGTTGTCTATTTCTAAAATATATGAAAATTCCTTTTGTTTCATGAAAATTTTTTCAAAGTGCGTTAAATGTTTACATGGTGTAAAGAGAGAGAGAGAGAGAGAGAGAGAGAGAGAGAGCGTTGATTTGGTCAAAAATTCAACGCACTATGAAAAAATTTTTAAAAAGTGCGTTAACCTGGTAATAAGAAAAAAAACGCACTTTGAAAAATTTTTAAAATAATTTTTCAAAGTGCGTTGTAACAAAGCCGCTTTTATATTTATTATGAAACTTGAATCTCGTTCATCTCTTATGCATAAAATGGCCTTGTACTTATATCAATTAATAAACTATCACCCTCTTTCCATTTTCATATATCAAAATAAAGTAGACACTTGGTGCTTTCATGTTCTATAATGAAATTTTGTTTTGACAATACAAATATTTGAAAACAGCCTTTGAGAAATTGCAATGTTCTTGAAATTTGCAGAAAATATGCGTATTTGACTACCTTCAACAAAGAATTAAAATATGAGCACAGCCCACGATCCAAAAAATAAAATACGTTTTTTGATCTTCAGAAATAGACCTTTCATTATGTATTGGCATATTTTGGATCAGAGGTTGTGCTCTCTATGAAATATTGAAAAAACGCTTCAACTTTAGGTCATTTTCAAAGGAATTTACAGGATATGAGGAAAAAATTTAATGACGTCATAATGCATTGACTAGATGTGAAATTACGTCACAATTAATAGATACGTGGTCACCAACAGTCCAAGTCATAAATACTTCATTTGCAACCTAAACTGAGAGGTTTTGAATTTTCAGAAATTCTCAGGGCCAAATAAAGCCAAAAGTGGCTCTACCTCTTTAGAGATCAGTTTTCTGTGCTTAATACCGGTTAATTAAATCACTTTTTTCGTTTGGGGTTTCATTCCGAAACCAAATCTCCGTGTTCGAACCAGGAGAATATGACCACTTGAGAAAATATGCGATTTTTTCAATTACTTTTACATGGCCAAAAACTTCAGATATTTAAATACATGATCACTAATATCTTTATCAATCCTATTTCTCTTTTCTATTGAAAAAAGATGTTTAGGTCTGGATAAACCTGCATATATAGTTTAAAAAGTCAGTGACTTTGCTTTTCAACTTTTCATCCATAATTAGTTTTTCTTATAATTATGTATTTTTTCAAATATTTCCTAGGTTGACAAAGTAATAAAAGATGGTATGAAAAAATCAATTGTGGAGAAATATAAAGGAGATCTGTCACAGGAGCCAGTTACGCTAGCCTGGAATAGCATTCTCATTAAGGTAAGTATAAACATTTGAAGAATTTTTTTATCCCCCCCCCCCCTGCGCATGCAAGTATAGCTCAAGTTTATATAATCAGTTTAAAATTTTTGTAAGTATTCTACAATAAGTGGATTAAATAAATCGATTGTTTAATTAGATGAAAATTTATCTTTCATTACATCTTTTTGAACATTTATCCATGAGAGAGAGAGAGAGAGAGAGAGAGAGAGAGAGAGAGCATTCCTCAAAGATTACAGAAATATTCTTTTAAAAAGTCAATTATCCTATAATAAGAAAAAAAACTATGATTTTTAAAATAACTTTTATTGTTCTTTATTTTAAATCTTTAGTTTAAATGCTGTGGAGTAGACGATTATCGCGACTTTAACAATGCTACCCACTGGAATAAAACATTTAATGGTCAGCAAAGACCTCTTGTGACCCCCGTCAGCTGTTGTAGTGACGTCAAGGGGGAATTCCCGGATCTGACGTACCCCAGCGATACAAGTTGCGCCGAAAACCCAACAGATGCTACCAACTTCTGGAAAACGGTATGTTAAATTAAGATTGAAATAATTCATTAAACTGTTGCAAAATCCCTTCCTCTCATTTATTTTGACACTGTATGATGTTCATAAATCATTGAAACACAAATTAGAATTGGCAATGGTTATCTTATTAATTAAATGATGTAATGCAAGAACAAAAAAAAAAAAAAAAAAAAAACAAGCCACAATATTAATGCACAAAAACATAACCTGGAAGTTTATATATTCAGTACAACTTGCGGTTAAATATGAAAATATTGGAACGTCCTTGATTACTAGTATTTTCTTTAATTAAATATTTTATGCCTTCCAAATGATCAAAATAAATATTTCGAAAATATAATGAATTAAATGAAATATTTCCTTTTAATTCCTTTCAAAACCACAGTCTACCTCATATTAGCTTAGAAAAGTATTACTGGGTATTCACAATAAGTATAGATTTCAGTGTCATCATTCCATCGCAAGCCACATGTGTTGTACCCATTTCATATTCAAAAACTCTTGGCTGTCTACAGCAGATTTGATTTTCATAGTGATTCTTTTGGTAGAAAGAGAGAAATTGCAGCAGGCAGTCATGGTCAGGGGCTCGGGGAAAATAAAATGAACACTTAAATCTTGCTCCGTGACATCGATGCTATTCTTGAGAAAATTTGACAATGGATTGTTTTTATTTTCTTCTTTAAAAATAAAGTTCCTCTACTAATATTCTTTGTGAAAAATTTATTGGCTTTTGTCTGTAATTTACAAATGCTTTTCTTTATTGAAAATCATTAAAAAGCAAGTCGACCTTTAAGGTTTATAGCTCTTCTATATTTTTCTTCAATATTTTAATTTTCCCTTTTCCTCCTTTTCCTTGTGATAGGGATGTTACTCGGCGATTGAGGACTTTATTAACAAGTACAGCAATATCTTCATCGGGATCGGGGTTGTCGTAGCAATTTTCGAGGTGAGTTATGAAGAAAGAAATACCAAAAAAAAAAAAAAAAAAAAAAAAGAGATAAATCACAACAAAAACCAGACTCAAATGTTTTTTTTTCAACGACGTTTAATAACATGCAATCCAGTAGGCTTACATTCCAGCATCTTTCTGCGAAAGTTCATTCATTTGCCATTTTATTGAAATATTCAATTTGCAACTATATTAATGGCAATATGCAATATTCATTCGTAAATTAGTTCAAATGGGTAATTGTTGTTATATTGTGTCATTTTGAAATACAATACCAGTGGATCGGAAAGATATTGTGACAACTGTGTATGAAAAAATTAATTGAATTACATCACGTATATGTACCGAAATGATGTGTTTATGTTTGGATTTTCCGACGTAAATTTTAAAATGATCAACTTTACTTTTTTATCCATAGATCCTGTGTATTGTGTTTGCCATATGTGTCTGCAGAAGCGTGGAAGAGGGAGAAAAAATGGTGTAAGAAAGCACAGAATCCAGTAAAAAGACCATACTAGCTTTAACTGTTCTTAATGTAAACTGGTGGCCTCACCCAAAAATTTGATAGTTCATTTATCTAATGGACAGATTATATCAGCAGAATATCACGCTATTCTTTATATTATAGTTATTAGTAGCTTGACAATATATGCAACTCTAATGATTATTCAGATAAAAAAAAGAGGTAAAAGGACAAAGAATTGAATCTCTTTCATTTTCATTATAACCGGTGCCATTTTGAGCTCTTGGTGCATCATGGGAAAAATGATAATTCACTGTTGATCTCAAAAGGGAAGGGTTGTGAAACCATACATATCATTATGCCTCACACTTCACAAGCAAAATTCCTCAGTCTTTACAATGCATATCATATGTACATTCCATATTTGATTTTTTTTGTAAAACCCATGATGCTTTCACCTCAAGAACTTATAAATACATGTACATTTGAAAAGTTGACGTTACACATTCGCATTCAAAACCCAAAGTCACTATTTCTTTGTTAGGCGAAATGTCGAATTTATTCGCATTTGTTAAAAACTTTACCATGTTTTCATTGATATATTTCATTATATCTTTATTCAAGGTATTGAGATATCATTACCTTACATTATACAGAGATCTGCATATGACGTCAAGAAGTTGACTGATCGTAGATTTCATCTATACTATATATACATGTAGTATTTTATCGGATATATAGCATCTGGGATTATTGAATTATATAAATTATTGCATGTATATGAAATGAGATCTATACATTGAACCAAAGTATTTTGATATGTTTATTTTTATACTGGTAAGATATTTCCATCAAATGCAGTTGTAAACATATGTAAAATAATTTGTAAATTATATATTGTTTATGTGTTAAGCACTTAGCGAAATCCAATTCTTATGAAGTTTTTAAACTACTTGTTTTTGTAATGTACCAGTATATCGGCAAATAAATATATGATTTATATTTTTTGACTTAATTTACTTACTGGTAATTTGAAATTTAGGATGGTTTTGTCATTATTTCAACACTGGGGAATTCATCTAAATGCCATTTAATGAATTTCTGAGTATTTTAAGGGTTTTCATTCACTGTTGAAATATACCTGAGATAGAAATTCCGGCAAATGTCAATGAGTGTAGCAAGATCCATTATTATAGCGTGTCGTACGGCAAAGAGGTGGGGCTTAAAACGTCTCAATGTAGTCAACAACAATTTAAAGTTTCTGAAGTTATCAATTTCTTAACCAACGAGAATGTATGTCGCCATTTGAGAGACGCTTATTACGTAATGGCTAGAATGCCACGCCTTACTGAAAGTCCAAGGATGACAGAGAATTGTTACTAAAGGGGTACGTGTGCCCCAAAGAGGATATGGCGATTTCATTTTTGCTGGCTATAACTCTGAAAAGTCTGGAATGTTCTGATATGTTCCTTACCTAAATCGCTACTGAAATCCTCGATTTCAAGTCGTCAAATTTTATGATATTACATGTACATGAGTTCAGTAATTTAACTGGATGAGACATGAAGGCCAGAACCCTATCCCCCTTTTAATCATTTTACTATTTACAGCACAATACAATTAATCGCATATATAACTATACCGTCATGTCCTTCATTAACGAAGTCAGTCTGAAGGTTTTCTAATCCAAGATTTAGGGTTAATATATAGTTTTTTGCATTGTCTGTCCGTCCGTTTAGCTTAAGTTTCTGGTTGTCCAACAAAACTTTAATCTTGCCCATAACTTTTGAGTGTGTGGAGGTATGCATGGCTTTCATACTTCACAGTGTACTAGTATTCCTTGTGACAGGAGCTTTAATTTCTTTGGATACCGCCAAATCTGACTTCTTGACCTTGAAGTTTAACCCACTTAAAAAAATCAAACTTTAACCTTGGCCATAACTTTTTAATAATCGGTGCTAGGGCTTTTTAAATACTTCAGATTGGTGTTCATTCTGACAAGATTTGGTTTTAAATATTTTTGACCTTGATTATTACACATAGAGTTTGACCCACTTGTTAAAAAGCTTGGCCATAACTTTTTAACATGTACAGGTACATGTGTATTCCTTATACCTATACTATACCCGTATAATTATAATGTGATAAGACATTTCCATGGATACCAACAATTTTGACCTTTTGACCTTATCCTTGGATTTTGACTTGCATTTAAGAAACGTCAACCTTCGCCATAAGCTGCCATAGAGGGGCATTGATCAGTGTTTCAAAAACACATCTTGAATTTTGTTTAGTTGCGCTCCACCCCATATAAACTTTTAATCATACCTTTTCAATAGCGCATTAAGGTCACACGCACTGTACCACACCTATTGATAATTTTTCAAGATATTCTTATTTTAAGATCAATATTATATAGTGTCATCAGATGTTCAGAGACAAAAAATTAGCATGTATTACCAGGTTTTTTTTAAGATATAAATTGTTGATAATTCTTCGATAATTTAAAGAAAAATATATAATATTAAATAAACCAAGTTTCTTTAATAAAAACTTGTTTTAGAAGAAGTGTACAGCACCATTATATAGACATTTAAATATATCACACAGTTCCTTTAAGTATTGGAACTCTTCAACTCCGTGGAAAAAGACAAAAAAGAAAAAAGAAAAAAAAAGATGTGTTTGTGAAACACTGATGCCCCCGTATAGCAACATAGTAAAGATTAAACTTTTCTTTAATGCAAATTTAATTAATTTGTACCAAAAGTAGGGTATTTTCACTGAAAAAACATTTAAGAAATTTGAAAGTAGGCCAATGTTAAAGTTTTTTCAATAATTACAAAAAATCCAAGGTCAAGGTCAATGTAATTGGTATCCAATGAAAAGTCTTGCCATATAGAATACTTATGTAGAGTATGGAAGCCCCAGCCCTAACCGTTCAGAAGTTATGGCTAAGGTTAATTTTTTTTAAAAGTAGGTCAAACTCCAAGGTCAAGGTCAAAGGGTCAAAGTTTTTGCTATCAAATGAAAGGTCTTGTCACAAGGATTAAATATATAAAGTATGAAAACAGTAGCCCTATCCCTTTAAAAGTTATGGTCTAGGTTTGCTTTTTTAAAGTAGGTCATACTCAAAGGTCAAGGTCAAGGGGTCAAAGTTCTTGAAATCAAATGAAGGGACTTCTCACAAGGATTACATATATGAAGTATGAAAGCCATATCCTTTACCGTTCAAAAGTTATGGCCAAGGTTAATGTTTTTTTCACAAGTACGGAAATCTACAAGGTCAAGGTCAAAGAGTCAAGGTTGTTGGTATCCAATGAAAGGTCTTTCAACAGAAAAAACATATGTGAAGTATAAATGTCCTGGTTTTTACTGTTCAAAAGATATGGCCAAAGTAAAAGTTTAAAATTTTTATGTAAAAGTGGGTCAAACTCCAAGGTCAAGGCCAAAAAGTCAAATTTGGTGGTACCCAAAGAAAGGTTTTGTCACAAGGAATAAACATGTGAAATATGAAAGTCATATCTCCACTAAATCAAAAGTTATGGGAAAGGTTAAAACAGAAAAACAGAGAGACAGACAGACAGACGGACACTACAAAAACTATATACCCCCGAAACTTCGTTTACGGGGGCATGAAAACTAAGCTGCGTACGTATGTTCTTAAACAGGATTGTTGCTGACGAGCAGGCTTAATTTTATTGACATATTGAAAAGGTATTTATTCTGTTATTCAGTTTATAAAATTCCACTTGTCTGTCTTTAATATACATGTAACACCCAAACCAAATGACAAAAATGTTTACACTATCCTATCCACTTATGATTATAAGCCCCTGTAACAGAAGAATCGAGGTTATGTAGTTTTTTTAATCCTGTCCGTCTGTCCGTTTATCTATTTTAAATCTGTTAATTTATCTGCAAAAACGTTAACCTTTCTCATCACTTTTGAGTCGGTGGGGCTATGGCTTTCATATTTCACGAAGTATTCTTTGAGACAAGACGTTTCTTTGGGTATCACTGAATTTGACCTCTTGACCTTAGAGTTTAACCTACAGTGGCACTTTTATACTAAATGACTTGACCTTGACACCCTCACAATAACTTTTGAACTGATGGTACTAATGCTTTCATACTTCATATTTGTATACATTGTGACAAGACCTTTCAATAGGTATAAATGCTTGGCTTTAGAGTTTTACCCGCTTTATAAAAACTTTAACATTTGTCATAATTTTTGTATAGTTAGAACTAGAGCTTTCATATTTCACAGGTGTGTTCCATTTATGGCAAGAACTTCCCTTCGATAACAACAATTTTGACCTTTCGACCTTGGCCTTAAAGGTACTTGGACACAGATTTGAAGTCAATATTTTCTCTATAATATTACGACTTATATATTTTAATAGCATTTCACACAAAAATTAATTATTTCATTTAAAAGTTATTAAAACTTCAAATTTTTTGGATTGGGTTGGATTGACGCGTCCTTGCACTTTGACAAATTTTAACCTTATTCTTAATCCTTAGGAAAAGTGGCAATCTTGTTGTGTATTAATGAGAAATATTAAAACTTTTATCCAGAAAAATAATTTTATATTAGAAAGCAAATCTCATTCACAAGTATCGTCATTCCGAACTAAGAGTTGCGAACAGAGTTTAGCAAATCGAGCACACTCGTGTTATGTACACAGTTTTTGTAAACAGGGCACGAGTAGTGTTATTGTTTATGTTTCAATTACAATTCACCGGGTGCGTTCAATCGTCACAGTCTGCTTACCACAACTGCACGGACTGACAAAATATTGTGTGTTTGTTTTGCTTTCGAACATGTCTACTCTGAATTTTCTGGATTATAGTATTAATATTTTTCATTTATACAAAACGAGATTGCCACTTTTCCTAAGGATTAAGAATAAAATTAATTTGTGAAAGTTCAAGGATGTGTCAATCAAACCCGCCAAAAATTCTAAATTTTAATATCTTTTATATGAAATGAGATTTTTAATTAATTTTTGCGTGAAATGCTATTAAAATATATAAGTCGTAATATTAAAGAGAAAATAATAACTTCAAATCTGTTTCCAAGTACCTTTAATTGGAGGTTGACTTTTATTTATGAAACTTCAAACCTCGCCATTAGCTGCCATACGGGGGCATTGATGATCAGTGTTTCACAAACATATATTTTTTATTCCCCCGTAAACGAAGCTTCGGGGGTATATAGTTTTTGTCGTGTCCGTCTGTCTGTCTGTCTCTTTGTCTCTCTGTCTCTTTGTCTCTCTGTCTGTTTCTCTGTTTGTCTGTTTGTCCGCAAAAACTTTAACCTTGCCCATAACTTTTGATTTAGTGGAGCTGTGACTTTCATATGCATATTTCACATGTTTATTCCTTGTAACAAGACCTTTCTTTGGGTACCACCAAATTTGACCTTTTGGCCTTGACCTTGGAATTTGACCCACACTGTAAAAAAATAACTAGTTAATGTCACGAAGAAAACTAGTAGATTCACTGTCCATACAATCACTACCTTAATAGTAGTTTTACCAGATATTGGTATATTTACTAGATAAGATTAGTAAATTTAGAATTGATGAGTAAATTTTCACTAGGTATCTAATTATCTATACGACCCCCACTCCACAACTCACTATCATAACTAATCACGACCAACGCTTTAAGAAACACACTAGTTAAATTCACTAGGTTTTTCTTTCAGTGCACTTTTAAAAAAAAAATTCAAATTTTTACTTTGGCCATAACTTTTGAACAGTAGGTACCAGGATATTTATACTTCACATATATATTCTTTGTGGCAAGACCTTTTACTGGATACCACCACCTTGACCTTTTAACCTTGACCTTGGAGATTTCCGGACTTATGAAAAAACATTAACCTTTGCAATAACTTTTGAAGAATAAGTGCTAGGGCTTTCACACTTCACATTTGTAATTCTTTTGACAAGACCTTTCATTCAATACCAATAACCTTGACCTTCTGACTTGATCTTGGAGTTTAACGTACTATAAGAATCTTTTTAACCTTGGCCATAACTTTTGGATGGTTAGGGATGTGGCTTCCATACCTCCATGTGATCTTTGTTGAAAGACCTTTCATTGGATACCAATAACCTTGACCTTCTGACCTTGATCTTGAAGATTAATGAACTTATGAAAAAACTTTAGCCTGGCGATAACTTGGGAGCAGATGGTGATAGGGCTTTCATGTTTTACAATCGCATTTCCGGTTAGGAGACCCTACTTTGGGTAGCAATATATTTACTTTGTATCTAAGAAAAGTTTAATCTTCATTATGTTGCCATACGGGGGCATCAGTGTTTCACAAACACATCTTGTTTTAAACATAGATAGTAGTATTTTGACAATTTGTGTAAAGCTACATATGGCGTATCTGAGCTGAAAGATAAAAATACATTTGCATGTTACAATGTATTTGTTATTTACGTTCAAATAAAAATTTTCACCAATTTTAAACTTAAATATTCACGCTTTTCTGTAGTAAATTAAATTGACTTTAAACAGCAACAGTGTCTATAAAACGCGATTGATTAAAATTGTGTAATTTCAGGAAAGTCCTACCTTTATATAAAGTAACAAAACAAATAGGAAGATCTTTTTCAATTTTAGTTAGTCTGAATTTATCAAAAATACGCCATATGTGACTGTAAGTGATTATGAACAAATCCGCAAATAATCTGTCATGATACAAGGGAAAACAAATCACAGAAAATGATCAATAATCCTATACTAATCTTATTCTATCACCATTAATTGTCACTTAATAAATTTAGAAATTGTCTTGAGCTGAACTGATGATATTTTTCTTAGTTTTCAAATCGGGATCGAGATCCTCCCAGATTCAGCAGAGATACACCGGCCCGGATGCTCAGAGGAAAGTTAGACAAACAGGGATTTCCATTGGCGGTTTATTGAGATTCAACGATTAATAAGATAAGGTAAATGATTAAAGAGCGAGCGCGATGAGTAGCGCGAAGCGACCTCTTAAAACACAGCCTGGGCGAAGAGAACATTCGACCTTTGCTTGCACACTTTTCTCGCCGTTATCCTTGCCGAAATGCATTTCGTCGCTGAATACCTACTCGCAACAAGACGTTCCAAGAAAAAAAAATAAACTTGCCTTAATTTTAATGGATATATTTATATAATAGATAAATAGTAGACAACATTAAACGTTTTTGATTAAAATTCGCATTGTTCAACTTCAGACCCAAAAGTCTAAGTTGAAAGTGCGGTTTGACGAGCCCGATCTAAATTAAAACGGAACGCACAAGAAAAACATACACTGTATTATAAGTCTGCGCACATCAAGTGATCTTTTTTTTGCATCTGTGGCTAACTATGCTTATATATGGCACGCCAAATTCACAAAAATAAGCTAATCATAGTTTCACAGTTGCTAAATGACTGTTTCACATTTGTAAACTATAGTTTATGCAAAAATCTGTGTTTTGCAAGCAAAAACTATAATTAACACTGAAAACAATCATTTGCGACTGTAAAATAAAGTTTTTCTGATAAAAACAGTTTCATGATTTGTAAACAGCTCCAAAGCATACTTTACAAATGTAAATTATAGCAAATGTAATACATAGTTTATCTGATAAATATAGTTTCACTATTTGTGAAACTATAATTAACAACTCTTAAGTATATTTAATGATAGTGAATTATATTTTACAGATGTGAATCTTTGTTTATCAACAAAATCTATTGTTAACATTTAATTATAAGATAAACTTAGAATAAAATTCATAAACTATAGTTTACAACTCGTTAAATATAGTTTTACAGATGAATAGTATAGTTAACGAATCGATAACTAAAAATAGTTTATCAACTGTAAAACTATGTTTAACTCATTTTTGTGAAATTGGCGTGCCATACATATATATGGCAAGAAATAAGTCCTGACTAAGACTTTCAATTATGTTCTTTTATAACTGGTTATAAGAGTTACTAAAGCCTTTAAAAAGTAGCTTTTTTAAAATTTATTTAATGGTTACAGTGGTTAAACATGTGGATAAACTATTTTATGGTACAGTTTTTCCAGTAAGAGCAAAATCATTCCTAAGAAATTAATACTGTACATTATTTGCTATTTTTTAAAAATAATTATTAAAATCATTAAATGAATCATTATTTTAAGAATAAAAATAATATAATTAATAACCTTTCTTTTCAATTATATAGCATGAATAAAATTTTAAAGAAAATTTAAAACTATTATCTGCATGCATGATTGAATGTCAAAAAACGAAGTCAGCAATCAAGAATACTGTTTAAGTAAATGTATATAATTCATTTAATTATGCTTTTTTCTTTCATTTAGACACAACAAAAAATGTCTTCATCACCAGAGTTTGACAGAGACAGCCATACAGATGATGAAAGCAACAATAATCAGCTGTTGGATCTTAATTTTCCAGAAACAGATGTGACTTTGGTCGTGGAGGGTAGAAAAATTCACGTCAGTAAGGCTGTTGTCCTTTCTCAACATTCACCTGTGTTTCAAGCCATGTTTTCTGGACATTTTAAGGAAAGTACACAAAAGGAGGTACTACTTCAGGACAAAAGATACCAAGATGTTGTAGAATTTCTTCGATGTTTTTATCCCAACATGAAACATGATGTCACAGGTAAACATAATACATGTACACATACAATTTACAAAAGTATTACATGTATACAGATGCTATTGGTTTCTGATTTTGCCTGTAGAAATTCAATTATTTTTTATCTTGGTGACTATTTTTAGCACCTGAGCTGAAAGCTCAAATGAGCTTTTCTGTTCGACTGTTATCCGTCATTCATATGTGTGTCTATCCATCTGTAAACTTTTCACATTTTCAACTTCTTCTAAAAAAATAAAACGGCTTATTTTAACCAAACTTGGTACAAAGCATCCTCGGGTAAATTAGGTTCAATTATTAAAGTGAAGGACCAGGTCCCTTTCTTTGGGAGATAATCAAGAAAAGATGAAAATAGGATGAAGTTATTAAAAAAATCTTCTTCTCAAGAACCAATGGGCCATGAAAGCTGAAACTTATGTGGAAGCATCCTGGGGTTGTGTAGATTCTAAATTGTTCAAATCATGACTCACAATGATAGGAAGGGGCCACAATAGGTAATCCAAGTTTTACATAGAAATCTATTGGAAAAAATATAACATCTCCTCAAGAACCACCAGGCAAAAAAAAACCTGACTCACAATATAATCCCTATAAACCGCACCATGCACTTAGAAAATTGTGAAAAGGAGGCAGTTATTTTGGTATTCTCTTTATAATAATAAATATTTAATGTCATATTTTAACTTTAAAAAAAACTTTCAAAAAAAGAAATTCAGACATACACTAAAAAATTGTCTAACTTTCCTTTAAGATAAGATAATCCACCCAAATTATGCTAAATGATTCATTTTTCCACTGAGAATTTGCGAATAGACCAGAAGAACAATTTTTGTAGGTAACTTTCATTTTCAGAAATACTCCATGATAAGGTTTTTCTGAAAACCTTTCACTTTCAGGAATACTTTACCAGTCAGGGGCATAACTCAAACAAGTTATTTTCAAAAATAACTCAAACTAGATACGATCTCGTTGCGAGCAATGACAGGTCTTTCGTCCGATTCAGGAAAAAAACTTGTAAAATCGAACTAAAAAGTGATTCAAAATTTTGATCACAAGGAGGAGTGAATCCAGGTCGCCAACGTGAATGCGCCTTTTTTTCTCTTTTCTCCCCAACGCGCGAACCATTTAGCTATTGGGAATACTGCTTTAAATGTACTTGTGTATACTTTTGCAACAGTACACCTGTCTAAGAATCATAAAAGACGGGCCACTATTCATAATTTCGTGTCAAACGCCACGCGTAAATATTCTCACCTTTTCTTTGTACTGATCTTTTAAAGAGGTGCAATAGCTTCAATGAAATTAATTAAATAAAATATTCTTATCACCTTTATTTTATTTCGGCATTAGGAAAGTATATTTCACATTGTACACATTACATATCGTATCTAGCCCAGTAACACTAAAGCAGTGAAACGTAAATTAAGTTTTTTAAGATTGAAACTGAATTGCAACGTACTACTACGTGAGAGTCCAAGTAGTTTTTTGCATTTCATGTATCCTTATGTCAGAATGGTTTAATCAAACGCTCAGCTGCCTCCAAAAGCCCCTACTCGCGAAATGTCGGAGTTGACAGAGACAGCCGCCATCTTGGGCCCGCTTCAGATTTTCAAATATTAATATCTAGAGTTCGGATTAACCAATATTAAAACAACTTATATAGTAAGCATCAATAGAAGTGTCTCTATTTATATTCCAAAAATAAATGAAAGATATTGAAAAACAAAGAAAGCTGAAAATTTGGACTTTTTGAATTGGCTTCCGGTAGCGACAGGAAGTACTGACGACGAACGAAAAGTTGCGTCCTGGAAAGTATTGATCTTCATCTATAAACTCTGAAAGTTTCACATTGATATCTTTCACCGTTTTTGAGTTTAATCGTGGACAAAATGCCATTTTAAAATCAGGAAAATGGTCCAAAACTTGGCACCAGAGAGGAATTTCCAAAAACTGTCTTGGAACTTATAAGAGTATCTTACAACACATCTTTCCTGAAAATTTCATTTAATTCTATCCAGTAGTTGTCGCGAAATCGTGTCAGAAAAATAATAATAACTAGAAACGATCTCGTTGCGAGCAACGAGAGGTCTTCCGTCCGATTCTGAAAAAAACCCAATAAAATCGAGCTGAAAAAGTACAGACGGGTGATTGATCCAGGGTTACCAGCAAGTATTTCCAACACGCTTACCTTTACTATATTGGGACCACTCTTCTAAATTTATTTGTAAATATATCTGTCTTGAAATTGTGAAAGGCTGGTCACTTTTTATAATTTCGTGCCAAAATCTTCACGCCTTTTGTTTGGAAAGTTCTATTAAAAAGGTGTGATAGCTTCAATGAAATTAAAATAAGAACGTTCTTATAGCTTAAATTATGAGTTAAAAAGTCATTTAATACGTTAAATGTACGAGACATAAAACATATCGTTTATACGCAAGTAATACGAAAGCAATGGAATATGGCTATGATTCTTTAACATATTTCAATTTCCCAATTAGTTACACATTCATTAAAAAACTGAAACTTAAACTGAAAAAAGTGCCTCACCCAACGACGGTCAAGAATTAAGATACCATTAATGTTCAATAACTTGAATTAGATCTATTAGAAAACATATGTTTACATAAACTTCATTAATCGATCTTTTGAAAAAATGGTTTACTTATTTTATTCTTTTCTATTAGCTTGCATGGGAAAACAGTGGCCGCGTTTTATACTCATTGAATATATTGTTTCTTGATAAACTTGTGCTTACATGTATATTAATCGTGATTCAAGATCTGTTGTTCCATGATGCAAAACAAAAGGTTGTAGATATAGTTTTTCATTTGTACATGTAGTCTCGTCTTTTTCTACTTTGAAAACCAGATAAAACCAATTTGAGAAGACCTCGAATTAAAACTTTAGTTAAAACAGAATTGCAACGTAACTACGACGTGACAATCAAATTACTCTTTTACATTTCATTTATCCTTATGTTAGTTTCGTTCAACCAAACACTCAGCTGACTCCATAACCCCGTACGCGCTCAATGTCGTATTTGACAGAGACAGACGCCATTTTGGATACGCTTCGAATTTTCAAATGTTAATATCTAGAGTTTGAATTTATCAATTTATAAACAAATTATATATTAAGCCTAATTAGAAGGATTTCTATCAAACATATTGAAATAATTCCAAAATATTGAAAAACAAAAAAGTTAGAAAATTCGACTTTTTAAATTTTAATCTGGAAACAACAGGAAGTACTGACGACGAACGAAAGGTTGCGTCCTGGATAGTGAATATCACTATCTATAATCCCTGAAAGTTTCACACTAATATCTTTTACCGTTCTTGAGATTAACCACGGACAAAATGTCATTTTAAATTCAGGAAAAGGTCTGTAACTTGGGCACCGGAAGCGAATTTCCCAAAAATCTCTCGGATAAAATAACTTCAGATTACAACACATTGTTTCTGAGAATTTCGTGAAAATCCACCCAGTAGTCTTTGAAAAATCGTGTGCACAAAATTAGATGGTCAGAAAAATAATAATAACTAGAAACGATTTCGTTGCGAGCAACGAGAGGTTTTCCGTCCGATTCTGGAAAAAAACCTCGTAAAGTCGAGCTGAAAAGTGATTAAAAATTTTGGTCACAAAATGAATCCAGGTCACCAGCGTGAAAATCCAATCCGCTTTTTCCCTTTTTACCCTAATGTAGATTTTCCGCAACTTCCATGGAATTCCAAAGCATATTCCATGGAATTCCATGGAATTTTTGTTCCGCGGAATTCTTTAGAATTCTCCGGAGTATTGGGACGGAACATTTTTCGGAATGATTTGGAATTTTGAATCTAGCCTGGAAAAGAGCGGAACAATGCCAGAATGGAAATTTGCGGAGGAAATCTGTGGAATTCCAGGATATTTGTAAATCTAAGGAATTCCATGGAAATCCATGGAATTCCAGGATTCCAAATTCCAAATACATGTACAAAGAAAACTGAAATAATTAGTGCGAAATAATTACAAAAAAAACGATAACATCACAATGTTTCATAGATCAAATCTATATTTTCAAAATAAAAAATTAATTGTTTCTTTTACAATGTTTTTTGAGACAAATATTGCATATGATATAACTCTCAGATGTACAATATAAGCACACTTTCATAAAATATTCTCACAGAAAGTATTTTACATAAAAGGTTATTTACAGAGAAAATATGATTACCGGAGAATCAGTCATTTTGGTTAAATTAATGATAATCATGTTATGATATACATGAATTTAGTAAACTCCAGTCTGCATTTTCTAAGATAAGAAGTAAGTTTTAATAAATGAAATTGGCTATGGAATTGGAATAGTCATTGAAACCTCAACAAAGTATACATTTACAATGAACTGCCAGTGGCTTATCATTCTTATGTACTGGTACAAAGTTATTGACTAGAGTGACAAACACATGTATTACATGCAAAAAATATGTACTACACAACTATATTGATACAATGATCCCATAAAATCAACAGATGCTATTTCCCCCCAACGTACGTGCCAAAGATCCCAATTAATGAAGATCCAAAACTTCTGACGTGTTTGCTAGAGAATCACTTCCTCACTGATATTCTATGAAATTAGTAAATGGTTATGTTAGAAGGTTGACAGTTAATTGGTGTCACGAACGGATTCACTTTCAGTACGAAGGCTCAGAAAGTTCGATGTTGATCATTCCAACAGACACTTCAAACTTTCGATCCTTACACGATTTCTGAAAGAAAAAGATGATCATTAAGATGCATCATTATTGATATCCATATAAATATATGACAAACAATAAACAAAAGCTATACAATTGATTTTTTTTTGACCTGGCAAATCAGTTTACTATGGAATATGAATTAATTCACCATCTTGCAATTTTTTGTTCAGATTAGGATTAATTCTGATGAATGTATAAATGTGAAAAGTTTATAGATGACAGACAACATCAGGCACTGATCAAAAAACTCACTTAGGCCTT